GCCGCCATGGGGCGCGGCCAAGGGGTCATGGGGCATGTCTGGAAAGCAGCCCATGACATAACATTCGTGTGGCAATAAAAGCTTGTTATTGAGGTAAAATGGAAAGTTTAACTTATTTTCGAATTTAGAAAGACGTCATTCTTTTTGGGATGGATTAAAAAGGAAATGTTGCCACATGTTTTGAAACGAAGAGAGTTGCTGATTGCATATCACTGTCTCTGAACACTACTCTGAACAATATTTGTTCTCGTTGAGGAGTTTTGTGCTTAATTGGTTCTTTGATCATGCTCACGACTTCCATGTACCTAAAGGAACACAGTAGTGTTGAACTTGTTGTTTCTCTACGGAGGAAGAAACAATTGTTAGAATGTGTAAATTATACTCAAAAAGGGAATTAATAGACCTCCTTTCTGATAGGTTCGCTGTTATCTTGCATGCTCACCTGTCAAAAGTAGGTTCACCTGCAGCAGTAACAAAAATGGAGAGTAAGAGGAAGAAGTTGGAATAGATTAATTATACTTGAGTTCATAGAGATATGTTGAAATAAAAATTTAATGGAGTCAGCAAAGCTCTTACATCTAATTGAAAGTATCACATAGCAATGTATTATGTTCAATTGAATGCATGAAGATTGTAAATTCTGCCATTTAAGGTCTTGATTAAAAAAAAAAATCTGCCATTTAAGGAAATAAGTTTTTTGGACCGCAGTCTATACTGGAAGCAGGTGAAACAAAGTTGAGTGCATGTTTTTGGAAGTCCGTAACTTGAAGCATGATGGATACAAAATGATAAAAAGGAAAGGAGGAAAAGGAACAACAGTGATGTATTCTGTGAGTAAGGCAATGCATGAGTGAGATTGATACTATATACTATATCAATCTAGCATAAAAGGGCATCATTTATAAGTGGCTCCCCCCCCCCCCCCCCCCTGTGGACAATGGGAAGATCCTCTATACAAGCGGTATATAAAGTAGGAGCCCTATGCAGAATAGTTCCTTTCTACAACACCCCTCCAGTCATATAGACATATTGAATATCAGCTGTGCACAAAATATATACTATCGTGATAGGATTGTTTGTGCCAATCAATGAACCCATGAAACAATGTCTTCTGACAAACTCGACCAAGTCTAAGCAGTTATGATATATAAATATTGGTTGAGTTGGAGGTACTTTTACTCGTTGATTTTATTCATAAACCTAGACCAAAGTAACCTTCGTAGTGTCATGACAATATCCAAAGCTGACCGTTGTAATATTAAGTTGGAGGGCAAGGAGGAGCATACACGAGACAAATGGAACCACTTTACTTGTACCTCTGTTTATGCTGATGCAAAGGGGAAAATCCCTTGTATCACTCTTGACAGGTACTAATAGAAAGAATGACTGAGATTTTACTATCAGTTGATCCTTCCACCTGCAAGTTTCTGTTCCCTCACATTAAAAGTTGATGAGACACAGTGTGATCATATCGTCCAACTCCTCCATCTCCTAAACCTGCAATTCCTTCTAAATCTTTGTTTTCTTCTATTCCCTCCACCAGAGCTGGCTGATTTTCAGAGATGGCAAACAGATGCTGGGGGCAATCCTTTTAAACAATGATCCCATACCAAGTATGCTTCCAGAAGTTCAATCTCCTCCACTTTATACCAAGTAGATCTGTTACAAGTATATGTGATGTTTCTGTGTGTATTATATAGAATATGTGATTTTAGCAGAGTCAAATGCTGGATTGATTTATTAGCTTTATTTGAGAAATATTTTTGTTCATTTTTTTAATTGTTTTTGTCTCGCTTGCATGATTACATCACTCTGTATGTGGTTTTGACTTCTCAGAGGATATCTTCACGTTGCAGATAACCGGAAGCTTTTCAGCTGTGAGAAAAGCTCTGTTGTCTGTTTCAAGTTGTCTTCAGGATAACTCGAGGATAGATTCAGTAAATGCCTCTACCCCAAAATTTTCAGCAATGTCACAAACTGGAACTGGTTATCACACTCCAGATCAGTTTTCAAGGAGTTCTGGTGTTGAAAGTGCTGGAATCAACCACAGGATGGTCTTGGAGGAAGAGATCATGTTTAAGGTGTTGTGTCCGGTTGACAAAGTTGGAAACTTAATAGGAAAAGGAGGCTCAATTATAAGGGTGATGCAGAATGAAACTGGTGCTTCTATCAAGATTGCTGATTCAGCATCTGATTTAGATGAAAGAGTTGTTGTGATATCTGCAAGGGAGGTGGGTAGGCTGACCATTAACTAAGCAACTGTTTATGCTTTTTGAAACACTGATCCAACTTGCATTTGTTATGTTAAAGTCATATGCTCACTTCCTTGTTGTGCCACTTGGCAGTCATATGATCAACTGTGTAGAGTCAATTTGAAGATTATTTAAACTTGTTGAATATATAATTGAGTGAGGAGGAATTGCATGTGTTGATCTTTTAACATTGCTACTCTATCCTTGCCAAGATTTATTGAGATCAGCTGCTTTGCTCTTTCTGCAGAACCCAGAGCAAAGACATTCCCCTGCTCAGGAAGCTCTTATTCGTGTACAGGCCAGAATTGCCGAGATTGGATTTGAACCAGGAGCTGCAGTTGTTTCAAGGCTTCTGGTACATGCACGTCACATGAGTTCTCTCTTTGGTAATGGAAGTATTCTAATTGCTGAATTGCGACGACTCACTGGTGCTAGTATACGTATTTTTCCTAGAGAACATTCTCCAAAATATGGTTCCCACACTGAAGAAGTTTTACAGGTAAATACAGATTTTCATTCTAAAAAATATGTAGTAGTCGTTACATCTCAGCTATATAACTTGTGTTGCTTGGAATTTTCCTTTTCTTTTTTCTGG